ATACACAAAACCGGATAGTTTTTTTTTCGTTCTTATGAATATTTCTTTTTGTAATCAACATTGCTCATCATCTCGTACTGTTCACTTGTTAACTTTCTTTTCTTGTCTCATTCTATTAACATTTATTCCGCTAAGAGACAACTTCGATTGAAAAAAAAACAAAAAAAGAAAAGAAGAAGAAGAAGAAGAAGAAGAAGAAAGCAAGAAAACGACATTTTTATTTCTTCGTTTGTCTTTTCCTTCTTTTTTCCTCGTTCCCTCTTTTCCGACAAACGATCGGAAAAAGCATAAGCTTGTTAACAACGCCAGTCGGACAACATATAAATCCTATTTCTTTAGACAACAAACACACAAAAAAAGAGAATGTTCGTCTTGCTCCATCTTTTTCTTATTATTATTATATGTTCAAAGATTATCAATGGACAATATTGTTATGCTAATGAATGTTCTGTACGTTCAACATTAACTGGTGATGTACAAAATTGGGCTTTATTAATTCAAAATTATATTCTTAAATTAGCATCAGATAGTATGCATAGAGAAAAAACTCAATCATTTTTTGATTTAGCTGAATACAAAGAAGAAACAAAATCCGGTGAACAATTACTTGATGAAATGAAAACAATACTTGATGGATTTTTTGAAAAAAAACAACGTGCTGCACATCGTATTGCTGAAGATGCACGTGATGTACATGACAAATTATATCGTACACGTGAACATGATTATTTAACACAATTAAAAATAAATTCTAGCAGTCATTTATCATGGCGTAAATCAGATGGTTCACTTGGTTTAACACAACATAAACAATTACTTCATGTAGATAATGATACATATAAAGATGCTGATATACCATTACGTTTACCACCCAATATGACATTTCATCCACATTTTAAACGTAATGTTAGTCTTCAACATAGTGTAGTCAAAATAAGTGATGAAATTCCACGAAATAATGTCGAATCAATATGGACTGTTGAATGGACACATAAACTTGAACCAATATTCGTACGAAATAGAGAATTAGATCCTGATATACGTTGGCAATATTTTGGTTCACATGTAGGTCTTATACGTTTATATCCAGGTCGTGAATGGGATCAAAATTTTGCTGGATTTTATAATGATTATGATCCACGTGTACGTCCATGGTATATAGGCACAACAAGTGGGCCTAAAGATGTTATTATTATTCTTGATTGTAGTGAATCAATGAAATCTAATGGAAAATTTGCAATAGGTACCTCGATTGCAACAGTTGTTATTAATACATTAACACGACAAGATTATGTAAATATAATATGTGCACATGAATCTCATTGGGATGATATTGGTAAATGGCATGTTTATAAAACAGAAGTATTAAGTTGTCAACAAGATACAATGGTTAAAGCAACATTAGCATTTAAACGTGATTTAAAAGAAAAATTAGCAACATTAAAACCTGGTGGTACATCTGAATTTGAAACTGCATTTGATACAGCATTTGATTTATTTCAACGAAAACCTAAAACAGGTTGTCAATCGATATTAATATTTATAACAGATGGTCAAGATACAGATGGTGAAACAGTGCGATGTGGGGCTGGACAATATACACGTAGTGGTTATGTACCAGGACCAATCTGTAAATATAATTGGACTCAATATTGGACCATGGTTAAACAACGACAACAATTTCATCCACGAGCTAGAATATTTAGTTATCTTGTTAAAGATAATGGACAAATATTTCCCGGAAAATTAGGTAATACATTGAAAACTTCTTCCGTGTTTTTTTTTTGATTCAAATAATTTTTTTGTCAATAGCATGTGAAAATGATGGTCATTTTGCTATATTAAATGATGGTGAAAATTTAATAAATAAAATGTTTAATTATTTTGATTATCTTTCTAAAGCTTCATTAAGTATTAATGGTAGTTGGACATCTCAATATATCGATCAATGGGGTTTAGGTGTTATGTTAACCTATGCTATACCAGTTACATCAAATATTGATGGTCGTTTATTAGGTGTAGCTGGTGTTGATGTAACGTTAGATGATATTGAACATGTTCTTTCAAGTAAAACATGGGGTGGCGTTTATGGATTTTTAATAAATCGTCATGATGGTGATGCAATAATACATCCTGGTCTTAAATCAACAACAATACCAATTGAAGATCCAATATCTACACATATAACACAATTAGAAATGACAAATAATCAACCAGAAGAATTTCAAACAATTATTTTAACAACTATGCTTAGAGGACAACGGGGTTCAAAACGATTATCAAATGCATATCGAGCAACAATTCGACGAGAATTTGGTATAAAAACAAAAGAAATGTTTTTTTTTTTTTTATTTCTTTCATTTATTTTAGGTATTGGAACTTATTATTGGTCTCCAATCGAAAATACAGATTATATATTTGCATTTAGTTTAGGTGAATCAGATGAAAAATTTCGTGAAGTTCGACAACCAAAAAATTTATCAATGTATGATGAAAGTTTTTTTAATTTACTTATTGAATATAATAGTACAAAAGCTCGAAAATTTTTACCAGGAAAATTTGAACATATGCAGGTAAAATTTACCTTCCACAGTGTGTATCTAGGTGGACATTGAGCTAAAAATGAAAATCACCCTTTTTCAAGGTTTAAATGACTGGATATATACTTCGAAATATAGTCTATCTAATAATATAAATAAATTTATTACAATTCTTAAAGAAACTGAAAAATCAGTTGCTGGCTTGTCTTGTAAAATGAGCGATCCAAAGTCAAAGATTTTCTAAACTGCTCTTCCATCTACTGTCTCTAATTCCTGTTAGCGCAAAGATTTCTCGGCTGCACAATGAGTTTCCAAGAACCGTCGACTTTTTCAGATTTTAGAAAAACATCTAATCAACAAAAATAATATATTCGAAATCAGCAAAATAAACTGCATCGATTGATATATAGCACAAAACAATTTCGAAGAAAAAAATTTTCTTGCAAAAATTAGGTCAAGGGTCTCCCTCAGGCATTCTTTTTGTCGAAGAAGTTTTTTCTCCTAAAATGCTTTTCTACATCATATCCAATCATTTCTGAGCATGGAAATAACATGTCCGCCTGCCATACGAAAAATATGCACACTGCTGTCTCTCCCATCCCCTCGAATAAAAACGAGGTAAAAATTATTTAATTCAAAAGGTTAAAATCAACGATCCAAAATATAATGATGTACGTGTTAGTTATTTATACTCATCAATTATGCTTGCACCACGTGTTTATTGTGATCCAAGTGAATATTTTTATAATGATGATTTAGCACAAAAAACAATCAATGCACATATTTATATAAATCAACGTGACAATAAAAGTGATGATGATAAAGGTTGTAGTCAAAAAAATGCAATATTTCATGAAAATACACGTGCTTATGTACTTATATCACAACCAATTGAAAGAGTTTGGCGTCGTCGTCCATCGGAATTAACAAAAGATATTATATGGACTTATGTTGGTATGAGAACAGGAGTTTTTCGTACATATCCAGCACATAGATCTGTACGAGATTATGATCATACAGCACGTGCTTGGTATAAACGAGCTGTTACATTTCAAGATCGTACAACAGCATCCATGCCTTATTTAGATTTAAGTGGAGGTGGAAAGGTTATCACAATAGCTCAAGCACTTTTTGAAGGTAACAAAAAAATATGACAAAAATTTTATTGAAATTTCTTTTGATACTTTCAAAATGAAAAAAGACAATAATTACTCTTGTTTAATATGAATAATATATTTTTTGTTATTTATTTGTTTAAGGTATGCCATCAATATCAAATAAAACATGTCAACAAAAAACTCAACAAAGTTCATCAACAACAAAATTTCCTGGTGGTTGTCCATGTTCAACTGGTTCGGATTGTTTATCTGGTTATTGTTATCAAAGTGTTGCTCCTGGACCTGATCCAAAACAATTACGTTGTGCAACAGAACGTATTATTGGTGTTACAGGTACAGATATAAGTTATAATTCCTTTCATTCAGAAATCATAAAACGTATGGTGGCATCGGATGGTCGTCGATCATGTGATTCAATATATCCATGTCCATCAAATCCTTTAAAAGAATGTTCAACACGTTGTTATCTTGTTGATCATTCAGGTTATTTAATTGTTGATCCTGATTTTGTTAATGTATCATCATTTCATGAGAATCTTTATACCCAAGTAACACTTGGTCATAAAGAAGGAGAAGTTATGGCAGATCTTATTTATAAACATGGTTTATTTCATCGAGCTGAAACAATTACATTTCAAGGAACGTGTCATGTTAGTAAACCATCAGCTAAAGTTACATTAAAAGGTATACCAGCAAATCCAGAAGAATTAGATAATAAATATAAAAATAAAGGACCTATACCACAATTTATGAATGAATATGGTTGTATACAAGATCAAGTACGTTATAAAATTCAATCCTCAAAATTAAAATGGTCAGATTTAATTATTGGAGAAGTTAATGGTCCATGTATGAGTGGACAATATTATGTAACACCATTAGTTAAAACAAATTTAATACTTGTTGTTATTGAAAATTATTATGCTGAACGATCAAAATTATTTTATAATTTTAATTGTAAAATACAACGAAGTATAGTTGATGCTGGAGCATTTCGTATTATAAACGGTACATGTGCACATAAAATTGAAAAAATGAGTAGTTTATATGAAGAAAGTAAATGTCCAGTATTACGAGATGTACAAATTGAATGTAAATATAATGGAATAAATAAACAACAATTATCCTTAGTTTTAGTTTTTTATGTTATTGTATTTTATAGAGTAGGTTTTTTTTTAAATAAATAAATAGTTTAATAATTTCGTTGATTTATATGATATGTTACTTTGAAGAATTATGTGAGAAGAGAAGTAGTTAACTTATCAACAATCAAAATAAATATAAATCGCATAACATCCTCATATGATAATAGACAAAAAAAAAACATTGAAATAAACTAAACTTACCTTTCAACAACCTCTCCACGTCTTTCTTTTGCTACCATATCAAGTAATGTTTGCCTTAAATGATCTCTTATAAGTGTGTATCGAACAACATTATCACGAAATAAAATTAAACCCAAATTATAAACAGGTTCAAGTTTTTGTCCACTAACATAAACTCTATCCATATACATAAGTATATCACGTATCATAACCATGGCTGTTCTATGATCATTCCACGCTGTATTAAGTGTTGCTAAAAAATTATTATTTAATGAATCAACAACATCTTGTCTGACCTTTAGTTTTTACGAAAAAAAAAAAAGTAACAAATATTAAATAAAAACTTTGTTTTATTTTTATTTTACTTTTTGTACAAGATGATCAATAACAACAGCACGTGTACCCGTATAAAGTTTTTCTCCATGTTTATGCAGCACCATTGTATATGCATTACGATAAAGTTCTTCGAAACTTAAACCACTATTATTCTTTTTTTGAATTTCTTGAATAGCTGTTTTTAATGATGTATTCCATATGCCAGTAACATAGCGATCGTCTACTGGCGACTAAAATAAAATCAAAAGTATATATTAATTTCCAATAAATAAATATAATATTAACACACAAAAAATTGACGAATACGCATTCTTTTATTTTGTTCTTCCACTTTGATTGATGTTTTACTCATAGTCTATTTGATTGCTAGAAAACAAAACAAAATTTATATTATTAAACTTTTAAGAACAAATTTAAATAACTTTTCATGTCATAATTAAACAAATCGAAATATTTTGTTAGTACTTAACTTTTTCAATCGATGAGATAAAAATTTTTCCTTATTATTATTTAAAACATAAATCGAAGTTTTGATCTGAAGAAACATTTTTTTAAAGAATTTTTTACGATAATTATATAAAATAAAAGCATGAATGTGTCATTCAAGGTATGCACACCCCCTTGCTTCAGTTTTTTCTTAGCAAAACCCTATTTTTTGTTAGAAAAAAAGATTGCAAATGGACAAAGAAGACTTAGTATCTCCACCCACTTGTTTCTCTTCGCGACATCCGGAAATAAAAATGTCATGACGAGTTCTTACTAACATTACCAATGTTTAACTTTTTATCTGACGAATGATGTTTATGAAACTATTTCACATAATCCGAATAAAATCCTACAGTAAAATCTCTCCATAATGAATAGTCTACATACCGTCCAAGTAAAATTTTTTCTCAGAATGAACCTCTCAAATATGAATATCTGCTTAGAATAAGCAGTGGCCGCTTATTTTAAGTCCTATTAGCAAAAAGAACCTTTTGTAATCTGAGCAACATGTGTTTTATCAGTAACGTGCAAAATGTAAAAAAAAAAATAATGTTATGTATATTCCATTATGATAAACAATCATAAAGCACAAAGAAAAAGGAGATGAACTAACCGTGAATATTTAAAAGAAAAGAATAACAATATTATACAACAACAACAGCACTTAGTGCAATATCAAATGGTGTCAACACGAGTTGATTTACATCTGATTAAAAAAATTCAACTAATTAGTTGCTAAAAAGAAGAAAAAGGTCACCTTGTGCAGCCGACAAATGATTGCAACTGCATACGTATAAGTTGAAGAAAAGAAAAAAAAATGAAAACCTTCCAATAATGAGCAACTCCGTAAAGTGAGCACTTTTTGTCGGTCCCGATGATGCTTGCATTAGAGAGGTTTTACTGTAAGTGTTTACTAACATTCTATAGGATCAGATCTAACAGTCAAAACTAATGCACAAATCATTGCATCATTGGATCTCACCAAGAAACCTGTTCAGAGTGCTAAATCATTTTTCGGTCGAGACGATGTTCATTTCGTGAATATTAGTGAGTAATAAAAAAAGTTTAGAATGATTTGATTTGTTGAGCCTTCATTCTCAAAACACCGAAATTCCAAAGAGTTAGCTGTGGTACCTTTTAGGTCACGTGAGAGTTTCCACTTCATATTTTGCACGAACTAAATTCTTAATGAAATTAATTGATTGTATAAATAGTATTTTCTTTTTGGAGATACACATCTATGAGCAAAATTTGCTTTTACACATGAGAAAATTTCGAACATTGAATATCTCAGGATAAAAGATGCCAGAACAGCTAAGACTTACATAATCAACTAATATCATTAAGAACTTTGTTCGTACAAAGCTTGAAGTAGAAACTTTCATGTAACCTGAGAGCAACCACAGCTAACTTAGTAAAACTTTGATAATATCTCAAGAACAAAGGTTCGAAACTCCAAATCATTCTAGACTTTTAAATCATTCATCAAATGAACATCGTCATGGCCGATAAAACGAATTGACACTTGGAGAGATTCTCTCGTCGGCAAAGTATACTATGTATTTTTTACAGATAAAATGACACAAATGAGACAGCATTGTCTGTCAGATAGATGTAAGACAACATTTTATAAAAATCTTGTTCATTTTATTGGTAGACAGCAAGCAATCGTTGTATACTTCAAATATCATTTCATTATAGTCGATTGAGACTGACGTAATGCTCGAAGCGAAAAGTCGTAAAGTGCTGTCACTAGCGATTCACAAATATACATCTAAAAATACTTCAAAAGAGGAAAAAACTGATCGACTTTCATAGATGTCATAGTTTGTTCGCTTCAGGGGCATCATGCTCGAGCGGAGGTAACCCTATCTCAATCTCGAAAAAATATTATTTTCTCCAGCAGAGCATACTATTATTGTTTTTCCTTAACTCCTCCCTACACAATCTTAATAATCTCCGAGCACCCATGTTTTGTTTAGAAGACTGACGTCTGTCAGTATCTTGAACAATAATTAATTAGAAATTTTTTATCAACGAATGACGTAAACGATTTCTTACATAAGATTAGTTGTAATGTCATCAGCACTACTTAGTAACCTTTACTTCCTTTCTTTTGATGGTCTATGGAGATCGATTTTTGCTTTTGCAGGTTTACTCAATCTATTTAAACAATCTGATTTATCGATTGATAACATATAATGCATGTTATCTGTACCAAAAGATTGTCATAGTCCTAAAGAGTTTACATCCACATGGTATTTTCCTTGATCTGACGATAATAACAAAAAGTATAACAGAAACTATTGAAAAATTCTGCCAACTGTTGACTTATTTACATCGACATAGTTTGATTAATTTCTTTTCACAGAAAGTTAGAAAAGGTTTCACTTATATAAACATATTAAATTAAATGAAAGATTTATATTTTAAATTTTTTAAGAGCTTCAACAGAAAAAACACAAACTCAAACACAGAGCATTTTTATATTCACTCACTAAAAGCTAACCTTTCAATTGCTATATATATTATTTGAAAAGTGTTATACGAATATAATCAAGACTGGAAATTGCAGAAAACTTTGAGTATTTTGCTATAGACGAAAAAATCGTGATATTTTTGTGTTAAATATCGAAATTATATTGCAGATTTTCTTTTGAACTTATATAATTTATAAGAACACATTTCTTTATTACTTACTCTATTGATACGGAACCATGCACTTTGCACAGTCTAAAAATCAATAACAATAAATATATGATGCAATTATAAATTTTTCTGATATACTTACCAGATCGATATATATAGTTTTTTTTAAATATTATTAAAATACTAATTATATCATTTGTCTACATGAAAAATAAATAAATATATTCATAAATTATTCGGCGCTCAAATATAAGTTTCAGATTGTTGTTTTTCAATGTCGCACGACTCTGCTGACAGTAAGAAATCTTCATAATAGAATATTAACCAATGAATATTTTAAATCGTAAAAAATTTAAAATTTATCATCTATTAATTCATTAACCGATCTTTCAAGTAAAAAAGCAGTTTTTCTGAAAAAATAAAATACAGATTCTTTTTCTATAGATGTCTCTAGTGTACATGATCAATTCGATTGATTGCTTTTTTTAAACCAATAATATATTCAATCTTTTGTTCATATTGACAAAAATTTGAGATTTTATTTTTGTAAGGAAAATGTCAACGATTAGATTTTTCAATAAATGTATATCACGATTTAGTGAATGAATAGAATTTTTTTTAGTATTACAAATGGTTAAGATTGATTAAAAACAACGGTAAGAAAAACGTTTTGACAGAAGAGACATCTTTGTCAATATACTGAAGCCTCTTGCATATTCTTACTAAAATTAAAATACAAGTGAATGACTTGACGTTTGCAGTTATGCAACATTCATCGTTAAGGCTTCTTTTTCATCAGAAAATAGACAGTTTTTAAGATCCGTTAATAAACTTCATAAACTAAATACCTGAAATATAAGTTAAATAAAACAACGAATCAGTCAAGACTAACACAATGCATTAAGTTGAATCTTCTTGAATGAGATCTTGAGAAAAATCATATCATGAAATCAAATGAATACATATTAAATTATTTCACCCGAGCAAATCCTTCATTTAAGTCTCTTGTAGTCGATGTTTAGAGTTGATTTGAATTCATGTATGTAAAAAAAAAAAATGAAAGAAACTTAATTACAATCAAGAATGTCTCTAGCAGAGGTACGAAAGCAAGTGGGAGACAGCTGGCCTCATAAGCCTCGAGGGTTGCAGTTTTGTTGACTCAAGAACTGTTATTTTTTCTTTGAGATTTTTTACTTCCTGTCTGATGAATCTCTTTATTCAAAGAAAACGGATAACGTCACTAAAGTCACGTATACCCCCTCGAGTCTCTGAAAGGCAAATGCGACTTAAAGGACATCATTATCAAAAGCATTTCTGCTGTTTTAAAGCGTGTCCATATTAATTAACTGATAAAGGCAAAAGTTTTGCATTAATTTTATTTTTTAAGAATCTCAATATCGAACCATTAGACAGAAGAAAACTTTTTTTATAAAACACAGTTTAAGATTTCTTATAAAAACGTCGTTTACGAAATATTTTAATATCATATATATGTGTTACATTGATTATCTTAGAAAAAGAAAAACTTGTTCATGTCATAAAAATCAATATGAAGCTTCGATTGATCTCATGAGATTTGAAAATTCACTTGTTGCATCGATTAATAGTTCTTTATCAAATAGAATATAAACATCCTTTTTTTTTTGATGCGATCTAAAAATAAAAATCGTCGAATTAATATCAAACTTGAAATTAGCAGTTTTGCACTTTAACGGATGAAAATATTTTATCACTGTTAAGTAAATTCAATTTTCTTTTTCCAAAGGTACAAGTAATAGAGTTTTTTGAATAAACTATCTGTTCATATATTGAGATTCGAAATTCTTTTTTTATTAGAAAAATATCTTGTAAAAAAAAATTTTGTAGGAAAACTTCATTGGATACTTCTCTGCAATGCCGCTACGTTAGAATATAGAAAAACACAATTAATGTGAAGGTTTTCCTTCTACGTCATTCGTTTCTACATGCAGATTTTCCATTCTTAGATTGTAGAAAATTAAAAAATTGAAAAAGTTTTTATTTAAGCGTAAATACTGAAGTAATATCAATTGATATTATTCAGTCAAAAAGATTGTTTAATATATATATATATTTACTAATCTTGAAATATCATCATTTGATCTCAATTAGCTATTATTTCTTATTATTTAATTTATTGACTTTAACACACTATTTATTGTCCTTAGTGAAACTGTCATATGCGTATTTATTTTAGAC